CCGACGCCGATGAGTTCGACATGCTTTATCAGCTGCAGGCCCTGACGAACCCGCGCCTGCACAACGAGACCGGCCGACTCGAGCTGATTCCCCGCGACGAGATCCCGTTCGGCATTCCCGGCTGCTCCTATGCCACCGCTCCGTTCACCCATGTGAATCCCTCAGGCTCGCGTTTCAGCGATGGCAGCTACGGCGTGCTCTACCTGGCCGACAGCATGGAAACGGCCCTGGCCGAAGTGCGCCATCACCAGGAGCTGTACTGGTCCGGCGTTGTGGGTCTGAACTTCGAGCGTTTCGTCTTTCGCGGATTGTCGTGCCAGTTCGACGAGGCAGGCCTGCTGGATGCCACGACCGTCGCGCTGACCGACCCGATCTACGATCCGAACGACTATTCCGCGGCGCGCCAGTTCGGTCGTCAGCTCCGGCAGGACGGCTTTGCAGGTCTGCGCTACCGCTCGGTGCGCAAGCCTGGCCAGCATTGCTGGGCGCTCATGACGCCGCGCAATGTGCTCTCCATTGTTCAGACCGCCCACTACGAGATGATCTGGAACGCCGGCATTACCAGTGTCAGCGCCATCGGCGAGGTTTCGCCGTAGGCCCACCCCGGCGCCGCTCGTCCGCACGCGCGTCACTGCCAACCAGGTGTAACAAACGCCGCGCATCCTTTGCTCAAGGACTCCCCCATGGCGCACGGACGCTCCACCGAACAGACGATGTGAGGACGCGACGATGAGCAAGCGATCACTCGAAGAACTGGTAACCCGTTCGGATATCAGCGCACTGCAGCCGATGGCGCACTGGCGTCGTGGTCGTCGCAGCGGGCAGGAAAAAGCGGGGCCGAACGCTGCGGCGTTGATCCAGCGTGCCGCGACCGATATCGGCATGCTGAAAGCAGCCATTGCGCATTAAGCGAAACGCTGACTTCTGAGCCACATGCAGCCCCGAAGCGGGCTGCAATGCTCGCGGCAGAGCATTTTTTCAGCCTTGACTGCTGTCAATGGCAAAAATAGTAAGCAGCCTATCGTTCGCTCCGATGCCAACCAAGGGAGCGACACATGAGAAAGCTGCGTCCACATCATCTGACACCCTGCCTGCTTAGCGTCGGGCTGTTCTGCAGTCCGGCGATCCTCGCCGGCGAGAACTTCAGCGAGCTGTTCACCGATGCCAAGCCGAATCTGGATCTGCGCTATCGCTACGAGCACATCGACCAGGACAACGCGCTGAAACATGCCAATGCGCAGACGCTGCGCACCCGCATCGGCTTCCAGACCGGTCAGTGGTACGGCCTGTCCGCACTGGTCGAGGCCGACAACGTCAGCCGCCTGGGCGACGCGGCCTACAACAGCACGCGCAACGGCCAGACCGACTATTCGACCGTTCCGGACCCCGACGGCAGCGAGATCAATCAGGCGCTGCTGCGGTACGACCATGCACTCGGCATGCTGTGGTCGGGCGGCAGCGGATCATCTGGACATCACGCTTCGTTGGTGGTGTCGCCTGGCGCAGACGAGCAGACTACGACGCGTGCTGGGCAGCTACAGCTGTCGATGACTGACGCTGACTATGCTACTAGACACGTCACACGAT